GTACATGCAATTTTCATTGCAAATGTAGTAAGTTTCTCAACAAAGATTAAAAAATGTTCAAATGTTTCAGAAGTGGGAAAACTCAATTCCACTTGTGGTAAAAAGTTAAAAATGGAAGTTCCTTTCTAGTAAAATTGGAAATTAAAACGAAAACCTGGCGAACTAGTTTCGGACTAACAGACAGTCCGAATATGTAGCACGGACATCGCTTTCCAATAAAAGGATACCAAGAATTCCTCGCCATTACGCTCGAACACCATTTGTAGTATTCCTCGCCGTAATTTTGCAGTTTTCTTTTATATTCTTTAACAATTAAGCTATGCTAAAGCTATGCAAAAATGCGGAGAAAAGAAAAATGAAAAAAAATAATAGCAATAATATTTCATATAAAGTTATGTTATAATAGAGATTGAAATCATCAAGTTTTGTTTTATATTAGGATATATTATAATAAACAACTGGCCAGCCACAATCTGGTTACCATCATAACTAAGATAAGGATATTTTAATATTTTTATTACTTTTACAACCCATTAAAACGGCATCGCCTTATTGACACCAAAATTCAATTTATAACTACATTTAAATCTAAGATGTGATTCTTTTATACTTTGCAAAGCGCAAAATGAAAATCTGTTGGTCCCGCCCAGCGGCAGCCCAAAGTGTCAGCCTGTCCCGAGCTATGTGACCTAAAACCTTTGGGCCGAGAAAAAAGCCGGTATTCGTTGGATTGAAGTGAATGTCGCATTACTCGAACCCATTAAGGTAGATCTTGAGCGTTTTTGATACAAAAAACTGTGTCATAACCGTACAGTGGGTGCATTGTTTACATACAAATACCTATGAGCATGCATTGAGGCTATTGTTAGCGACACAGACAATCGGTTGTCGTGAATAATTAACAGAAAATTAAATCTAGATTATAACATTTTATTTGCAATGTAAAAATTAATAAAACTCTGTATTTACCAAAACACCATAACAGCTTTCAGTTATACTTTTGTAGGTATTCTTAACATAAAATATTAGTTCTTGATATATTTAATTATTGTTAGCATTACCTTATTTTGTTAATTATATATATATATATATATATATATATATATATATATATATATATATATATATATAATTAACAAAAATATATATAGATATTATCAAAGCCATGGGTACCATTTATTCTGTTGCTGTTTAAATTGCAAAGCCTTTTAGCAAATGTCAGTTTTGTTTGTTTGCAAGCACTATAATTATTCGTAGCAAAAGCAAACTAAAAACGATAATGGTCATATTGGATTAAATGAGATGATCGTTTTATGACTATTTAAACGTTTATCGTACGGAACAACAGACATGACATATGTTGAGCAAAAAATATTTATTACAATATATTGTCATCATTGCAGACCTCTACATAGAACGATGATACCATTTATTTTGTCATCTGAGGTCAAATTACAACGTTTGTAGAAGCTGTCGTGAGAAAACAATTTATTTAAAATAATTTTCTACATAGAAAGCGAATTACCGTAATTGCGATTTAGGAATCGACATTGTGATTAATACATTATTTTTTTTTTACTTACTGGTAAATTTTTCTCACTAAACATTTTTAAGCTATTGCATAGCTTTTATCGCGGACTTTGAGCGCGGCGACCGAATCAAGAAATTCCGTAACGAAAATAAAAGCTAACACTCCCCACTCCGCCTACCATGTAGCTCGGCCGAGCGTTCGCTTAACGTGTACGTATATGGTACGACTGTACAAAGCTCGCACGGATTGATATTATAATATGATATTATAATATTATGTTATCATATGATGATATGACATTTAGAGGATATCAAGTCTCAAACTTATGTTTCTTATTTCTGTTACCATAAACCTATAGTTTCAATGATAAAAATTCCTGAATGGCCTCCATGTATTGTAAGATAATAAAAATATTTTAAACAATGTTAACTTCTCATTTATTCAATAAAAGAAAAAAAATGTTTTCTTGTCGGTCACCACGCTTTAAAAGTGTAACTTGAATTAATATCAAAGAAAAAACTTGAATAACCTAATATCAAAGAAAATAAAAATACTGCATAAATAAAAAATAAATAAATAATAATTATAATCGCATAAGTTGATAAAAAAATGCTATGCAATAGTTTTACCGCGGCAGTCCCCGAGTGTTTATTTATATGAATCATACGTGTAATAAATATTCTCTTGCAGAGAAACTCAATTTTTCAAACAAAAATTGACTGTGTCAGTCTTCACACTTGTGATTGACTTCATCACTAGAAAATATCTTAACAAAGTAAATAAATATTGTACATACTTACAACTTTATTTGTATTTACGACTATTTTAAAAAAAATTGCCTATTGAAATGTTTCCATATAAGGTCGTAGACCTCGGCCGTTAGTTCCAACCTTAAGGAATCAATCGATAGAAATTGGAAATAGACGACCGTCCTTTCCGAGTGGTTTACGTTGATGGTGTTATATCATCAATATTAATAAGTATAAATTTCTGATAAATTTTAAAATGTTAGCACTAATAGTATCAGCCTAAACATGTCCCACTGCTGGGCAAAGGCCTCTTCTGTACAGAGGGTATCAGGGCATAGTCCACCACGCGGTGCCACTGCGGATTGACGGACTTCACATATCTTCGAAATATTATTTTTTTATTATTATTTCGAAAATATGCAGGTTTCCTCGATGTTTTCTTTCACCGCTGAGCACGTGATAATTCAGCACTTGAAATTACGATTACATTGGTGCCGGCACCAGGGATCGAACTCAAGTTGCTCGAGTATATCGAATTAAAGGCGAGCGCCCGGACACTGAGCTATCACGGCTCACGGATATCGCTAGCACTAATAACGAATTAGTAAATCACAAAAAACGTCCCCATAATATTTTAGCATTAGTTTTGGTTATTTATGGGCCTGATTTGATATTCGTCCAATTAACGTCAGTTTGAAACCGGGTGCAATTAATTTACACCAACAGCTAGTACCGGAACACGTGATACAAAAATTTAATATATTTTCTATTTAAAACCTATTGGAATTAAAATATTAGTATTACTAATTTCATTATATAATTTGTTTTATTTCACAATAAATATTTAAATATTATGATGTTTGATCATTAAATAATTGAGTTTGTGAAAGGCTAAATGAACAGAGGATCAAACACAAGAAGGGTTAAATGTTAAGGACGAAAGTAATTGAATCGATCTATAGAAATCAATAAAAAAATAGTAATTTGGAAAAGTTACGCTATACGTAAATATATAATATTTTGACATAAAGTTTTAATATTTCGTCACAGTAAATATTGTATTTCGCAATCAGAAAGACGAAATGAGTAATTCTTAAATCCTTTCATAAGATGAAATATGTAAAAAGCAGAAGTTTATAAACCTAAAGTAAATATTAATTTCCATATTCCATCTACTTTCAATATTTCTTTTTCTAAAAACGTTGCCAAATGAACGGGAGGTTCACCTGATATTAAGTGATTACCGCCGTCCATGGAAGTCTATAATAATTGAAAATTTGTAGATTTGTCTAAGACAAACTTTAAAAAAGTCTTTTGTAGGGCTGTGGTGTTTATGTTTAAACTGAAGTTAGCGCTTTCAGTTCGTAGACTATTAAAGCTTCATCCGGGATATGGTGCTTCCTCAAACGAGCCGGTCCATTCGAGAATTAGCAGAAGTTGTAGCGTGCATAAAAAGAAAAAATAACCAAAATAGATTTCTTAGTAAAGTATGTTCTCATAATAATAATGAGACCTTCATTATTGTTTTATAAATGAATTAACAAGTATTTTTTAATTAACAAGTATTTTAAGTAGGACTGTAATTATACTTTGAAAGTTATTTAGTATTTATGGCTCACGAACCATATGTCCTTACTCCAATTTCCATGTGGTCGACACGCGCAGCTAAATTATCATGTTTTCAACCGCTTTATTTTTTGCTTTAAAGATTATTATGTGCCAGAATGTGCTAAATAGCCAATACAAGAACGTCGCATTTTTTTTGCATATAATTATTATTAACATAATTATTTTGAAATTGCTATCCATTCATTCTACTTGCTCAAACGTAACAATTTTCGTATTGTTTTACTTTTCATATTTATATAATTTTTAAGAATAATATATGAAATTTATATATTAATAAAATTAAAATTTATATTATATATTTATTTGTTATTTTTATTTTAAGATGTTAGAATTAATGAATATATATCAATATTAATTTTTCATAAAAATTACAATTAAATATTTACATAGTTTTATATCAATTTTAATATAATATAATTGGTAAATTTATCACAGGAAAATTATAGAATATCCTCCGTATTAATTCGTAAGCGCTACATTTTGATACAATGGAAAATTGAAAGGGAAATTACATTCAGCTTATCTTAAATATTATAAACATAAAATACTGAAAATATGTAAAATGCATATTCATGTAAGCTTAGGGTAACTTGTAACTTTAAAGGGTACTTTGGGGAAATAATTCCTAATTTTTAACATAACTTTATTAAACTGTATTAGAGTAATAAAAAATATTTTCAACAATAGTTGCATCCATTTCAAAATGATTTAATTAATGCGTAAAATGAAATTCAAATTTTTACAGCATCAGTTGATATGAACTAAGAGACAAAGGCTTAATGAGTTCAGCAGTCATGTTAGGTAGCAATCAACTCCAGATATCTGCTAATAACAGGAAGTGCTTGTGATTCATGTCATTCCATTTGAAATTAAGTCTTATAGATACTAATAAATGCGCATTCAATCTCGTGGTAATTGGAGATGGAACTGTGTGTCAAGTGTCAGCAGTTGCAGATCGATGTCACAGTAAAAATAGGTCATCAAGTAACCCGCATCATCAACGGGTCGTCAATTAATACGCGCTTAAAAACGAATACAATCAATTCGGAACGCGGCTATCCGCGTGAGATAAACACAATCGATGGGGCCTAAAGCGTGGTGTGCTGGTGACCAACCTGGCTTCGCGCAACAGTGTAGCCCGTGGCATGTTCAGAGGCTGCGTTGAGAAGCGCGCCGCTCTCGCGACACGGCGCGACACGACGCGGCGCGGCGCGACAAGGCGCGATCCGGCGCGGCACGACACAGGCACGGCACTGGGCTCGGTGGGCGAGGCTCTCCACGCTCGGCACACGGGCGGCCGGCGCGGGGCGCGAGGCTGACTGGCCCGGGCGGCCCGCCGCGCCGCCGCGTTTCATTGCCCTAAATTCGCGCCACACGAGCGGCACGATAATTGTCGTAGCGCTGCAGCCGCGGCGGCCGCACAGCCTATCGATTCGGCCGCGTACGTTTCGTGAAAGTAAAAAGTTAACCCGATCGAATACAATGCGGCCAAAGCTGCCAGCTCCGAGGGTGACGCGATTTCTAGGTCACAAAATAGCTTATAAAGTTATTATCGATTGTACACCGCCGCTGGGGGTTTATAAATAAACTTGCTCGAACACGGACGAAGAGTTGCGGGCTAATCTGCCATTGCTTGTGCGAACGTTACTTTGCAGAAAGTTGCATTCTGCATAGAACTCTTTTATAGCATTATCAAATATTACAAGTAATTATAGAAATTCTAGTTAAATAAAAAGCATCACTAAAAATATATTTTTTACATATTTAGGCAAACTAGGAAAAACAAAATTGTAAGCACGCGGCGCAGATTGTTAAAAAGCTTGGCGACGTCTACGTGGCGTCTACGACCGAGCGTCTCCATGCTCTGCTACAAGCTACAACGCGCTACGCGCGTATTTTAAACTAGGCGTTTGTTGTTGATGAACAAAAGGATGTTCCTAACATCCTTTTGTTCACTAGCAGTTATAGCTGTGTAAAGACCTTCTTCACTAAGGATATTAGGGCTTAGTCCCCACTTGATCCACTGCGGATTGATGGACTTCTATTATTTTACATCTTTGAAATATTATTATTATTTAGAATTTATGCACATTTCTTTACGATGATTTCCTATATCGCAGAAACACGTGTTAAAGCAGCATTTAAAAATTTCATTGACGCTTACACCAGGATTTTGAACGCAGTTTGGGCAAATATTTTAAATTAAAATCGAGTGCCCAGAACCTGCATTATCACCCTTCCTTTTCCATATAAAAAGTAAAGTAACGTACCAGCCTATCCATATCCCACTGCTGGGCAAAGGCCTCCTCTGTACAGAGGGTATCAGGGCACAGTCCACGATGCGGCCTCACTACGGATTGACAGACTTCAGACATATCTTCGAAATATTTTTTTGGTACTATTTCGAAAATATGCACAATAAATACTCACGATGTTTTCCTTCACCGCTGAGCACTAAATTTAAAATTTTATTAGTGCCCGCACCGGGGATCGAACTCAGGTCGCTCGAGTATACTTTTAAATTAAAGGCGAGCGCCCGGACACTGAGCTATCACGGCTATCACGGATATATTTCCCTGTATAATAACCATTATTATAATTATGGCATATATTTTATGTTTGAACGAATTTGAACTATTTATGCTAAAATGGTATTTAGTGGTTTTACAATTCTATCATGGTGAAATTCAGCAGCAGATACGAATCTGAACAATTCATCACAGCACTCCCGTGATAAATGCGATAGAAAATGCAAAGAAATTCAACATCTGTTACCAAGACCAAAGGGTCGAGGCCATCGTACAAAACATGGGTGACGATTCGACTAGCTTTTTGTTTGACGCGGTCAATTTGAAGGACTATCAATGTGGTGCACTAGCCCAGAGATGAGAATTTCTGCTTTATACCAGTAAGTGATGGGCCGGCAAAAAATACTGCCTTGGTCTACTTATGTCACCAAGATGTTTGACATCCATCTTGGCTTTTTATTTCAAGTGACAATGAAATTGAACGCTGATTGACATGTCAACTGTCAACAAAACAGAACATATGGTTCAGTGGAAGATTTCCCAGAACTCTGGGAAATCTTCCACAGTAGTGGAAGAGGAAGTGAGGAAATCTAAGTGCTGGTACCCTCCCTCTCGGGGGTGGGTTCGATTTAAACATCGCTACCATGACAATGGGACAAGGATTGGAGCGCCCCTCCGGCAAAATCAATCATCGCTCAAAAGGCATCAGAATAAATAATAATACTTTACACCAATCTTCTTTGAGCGCTTAGTACTGTCCTGCTTTGGGTCACCCATTTGGCAAAGCCGAGCCAATGTAAGCCCTTACATATCTTGCAAACTTTTTCATCGATTGATGAAGACTAGTAGAAATGCTTTAAAGTAAAACGTATCAAATCTGATTACACTGACAGTTTTGAAGTATCGAAAAAAACGTTATTTACTCCTAGCGCAATTTTATTCAGTTACTGACTAAAACTCTTACTAACAAGAGACAACAGCCTTGCGTTTTTCTTTTGCGGTGGCTTAGGATTCGGGCTATCAAAGATGCGACCTTGACGTATCAGTTTGGATTCTTAATTGCACCAATGAACTACCCTTTAACTGGATAACATTTTTTTACGAAAAATCGTTATTCAATGTTTGCCCCCAGAGTACAATGATACAGCTGATGATTTTCACCATTACGACTATAATATACTTGATGAAACATAAATAGCATTAGATAAGTAAGTCTACCTCCTCAAGTTTAATAAACGATGGCGATTTTTTTTAACAAATTTCTTTTTAGTCATAAATCCGAAACTTTTTCCCCGGTGGCGCGATTATCAAAATTCCAGTGACAATGGTGGCTAGGTGAGGTCCAAAATTGTAAGCGAGCGGGCGAGCACTGCGGTGTAATCGACCACTAGTGGCGTGTTAACACGTCGCGTGACAGCCAAGCGTGCTGCCCGCTTTGTTTGTGATTCTTAAAAAACTTATTAAAGCTACCACAACTTACACTATGTACAATGGTACGTTCAGCCAAACTCGGTCTAGATGACCCGCGTCCGTTTTATGTAAGCGTGTGTTGTTCCCTATACTAAAGTGACGATTTAGGCTAGAATCAATACATTACGTGCATAATGTCCTTTGGATAGAAGCACGAATGGCTTTAAACTAAAAGAGAGTTACGCTGATTAAACTATTCGATGATTTTTAACCAATTATAATTAATTTTGACAGGCCATCGTTATAGTATACGTTTAAATAACAGTTTGAATGTCACACCCTTATATACAAAACACTTGTTTGACTGTGAGTTTTACCCCAACTATATAAAGACTTTTCTAATTACCTTACCAAAAAAATATATGACAGAAGAATTTATGAGATCATTTTATCAACAAAATTGTCCTTGAAATGTGAATTTTTGTAGATAAATGAACAAAAACTACCGGCACTGGGAGATTCAAAACTGCGTCTTCCAATTAAACCTATATTCGACGGCGTTTCGATTCTAAACCTTTTGTGGAAAGGATTTTGTTTGTTTCTCCGCCCTTTTAGCACCTATGATTGTCTAAACACCATACAGCAATTACTATTAATTATAAAAGTAAATTAAAAAATTACGTTTCATTCGCTCTAACTCAATATGTATAATATAAAACTATTGGTTAATTAACTATGGTTAATAACATAACACTTCGGGTAATACCTCTGAAATTTTTAATGCCAGAAGCACTTAAATATGAAACGCAAATAAATCATCTTCATCACATTCATCCTTTATGTACAGTGAACGGGAAACAGAACTTGATAAACTAACTGTACTTAAAGCCTCGCCTTAAGCTCCAACCATTTCGTTAATACAAGCAGGTTGAAATTAGTTCCATGCACAGAACATATTATAGAGATCACACATTAAGTTTCTACTAACGCCATCTAGTGTTGAGTTTCGTGCACCACTAAGAGCACTTGTAACCTATCTTACCATCTTATCACTCAAAGTTACATTAAGCTAAGAAAACCCGAACGTTAATAACTTTGCTTCAAGTAATGTTGAGCCACCAACTTGAGCCGAATTATTATTCTGCCATTGACCTGTACCATCTTCTGAAGCGTTTTATATAAATAATTTCGTTAATGCAGTATCTGTAATACCTTTTATTTTTTATCTCTTTCACAAACTTTGAATTCGTGGTTTTTTTCTATTTTTGCTTTCTTTAGCTTTGAATGATTTGCTATTAAAGTGAAGAACTTATCTTTTCCCTATCTACGTTTATAGGAAATAATTTCATGCATGAACCAAAATGTGCAACGATTTTTTATTTATGTTCGTTTCATGTTTTTACTTCAAAATGAATTGTGCAACCAATGTTTAGGCCAACATTATACAGAAACAGTTGAGTGAGAATACAGGATAGAATAACTTTAATCAATGTCAGACATTTACTTCTGTTTACAAAATATTAATTTGCTGCCGAGGTTAAAATAAACCATTTTTGTAATCTTTAACTCAATATTTTTTTAAATAAATCTTTAGTTTTTCTATGTCATTCATTTACTTTAGTATATTTATGACAAATGACTTAAACGGTCGTTTCAACACGAGTCATTACTTTATTTTGTCAGAATTTTGAATAGAATTACTCATTCAAATTAATGTTATGAATTTTTTCTTATTAAAATTGAAATTGAAAACGTCTTTATTTAAAATAAAAGTGTTAATAACACTTACTTATTGACTGTCAAAATATTATTACTGATTCGGAAAAGAAAATCCACTGACCCGATAAGAACCGGCGAAAGAAACTCAGTGAACCAATTTTGCTTTTTGTACCATTATTTGATAAAGAAACATGTTTACAATATATTAAAGTCCATTTGAAGGAGCCTCAAGCGATTAAATCATTTATTTCCAGGGTGTGTCACGAATCTCTAATATACTTAATAGCTATAATAATAATAGCCTTTAAAACATAAATATTCCTTGAGATTTTTTTTAAATTTAGTAACTTACACATCCACCTCGCGAATCCTTTTAGGTGGAAATTATTGTTCTTTTTCAAGAATCTGTTCTCTATCAAGTCTGACATAATGATTGGTGCCATTTAAGGTGTGCTTACTGACTGCAGACTTGTTTGTTATTTGTTTACGTTTAAAATAAGCTAAACTTTCCGTAAAGCGTTTAGGGTTTAGTTACTCTTTTTGTTTTTCCTATTTAAAAGATTCTCATATTCACAATCAACATTGCAATTGACAGATGGTAAAAACTGATTCAGTGGCAGTAAAACGTTTTAGTGAATATGAATTCAATTTAGAAGACAAATAAAAATTGAAATGAAGACTGAAACAAAATATGGGAAGTCAAAATTTAAAATAAAAACGAAATGAATATGTAAAATTAACTTCATTTAATAAATAATTTATAGTTTTCTATAACAGAATATGAGGAAAGGAATTTTATATAAGAAGTAAAAGCATATCATAGAGTAAACTTGATATTTTTTAATTATACTATAAAGTACCTAAGAAGTACTTAGGAGATAAATGCTTACTTTGAGTATTATATTTTTACAATTCAGAAATCGTAATATAATTCGCTTAGTACTGCCATCAATCATAATTATAAAGTTCAGCAACGAACCCAGAATGTTGCAAAAAAGATGTAGAAAGCAAAGAAATATCTTTTTATCGACTAATACTAACTTACCATTAAGTACTAGAATAATTGTAATTTAACCGTCTATTACCAAGACTATTGTCTTCTGTTGATTCTAGAAATCTCTTATATATTACATGACAAATATAAAACGGCGTCCACCATTAATAACTCATTTGCAATCGCAATTGTTTTCAATTTTATTTATTTGATTTTATTTTTAAATATTGTTTCTGTCACGCCAATAAAACAAATGATGCAAGTAGTTAGTTTTATATTGTTGTGGAACGTGCATCCGATACGCATGTATTGTCAATATCCTTATGATTATTTTAAATTTTATGATCATATGACCAGTGAAATCGGAATAAAAATTTATATCAATATGTGCATTTCATTCAAAGAATCCACATTCTCTAAAAGAAAACTATTTTCATTAACTTTAAACTATCTGTTGGGTGGTTTGCACACCATTATGGAAGTAATTCAAAAGTATTTGGAGCCAACTTTGAATTGTTGGAATTATTCCGGACTCGTTGGAAACATTTAGAGAGACTTGAACATTACCGTCATTGAAAATTTCGCCATTTGGAATCTGCGGTGCTTCAATGACTTCCGGTTTCTCTTCAATTGGCGTTGGTTCAACAATTGGTTCTTCGACAATTTCTGGTTCGATTACGGGCTGCTCTGGTACGACTACTGGTAAAACAGGTGCGGGCAATTCAACGGACTCGGGCACTACTCCTGGCAGCACTGGTTCGGGTAAGATCACAGGTTCCAACTCAGGCAAAGGTTCGGCAGGTATTGGGATCGACGCATCGGGTGCTCCTGGACTACTTTCCTCCGCAGCGACCGAATCGGCTATACCTTGCGCCGTTAATGGATAAAGAAGATCAGAGACAGAAGCAATTTGACCATCGACGTGGTGTTTTAGTTTAATATCGACAATGTCACCGATTTCCAACGGCTCTCCATCTGGCACGCCATTAACAATTAACTCAACTGGGTCTGCATTCTGTTCATTTGGAGGAAGTGGTGCTGCGGTGGTTACCGCGACTATAAGAGCCAACAGGAACAGTTTCATTTTCTTGGTACAATGCCTTAAAAAGATTTAATCAGTATTAATGTAATTCGAAATCTGCTTCGAAATCGGTTTTATTCTAACAAATAGAATTTGCTCGAATATTCTTGCTTACCTTTTTCACAGCTGTTTACAGTGGTCTACTGTTTTATGCCCGGCAGACAAATTAGGCACGAATTTAAAAGGCGGCATAAAAATGATAATTGTTTATGGATCAAAAGATTTCATTAATACCGCAATAAAAATTAATTTAAAGAGTATTGATAATAACCGATTACAGCCATAGCATTATAATGCTACTAAAGCAGTCTCTACCAAATTATTATATATATTTGAATGAATTATTTTTTAAAAAACTTATACTTTTATAAATAATGTAAACATATAGTGTTCAAAAAACAAGGTAAAATTTAAAAAGATTGGTAGAATTTAAAAATTGGTAAAACAAATGATACATTTGCGATTTTGAGTGAACATACTAGCATCATAAAAATGAAATTAATCATAAAAGAGCAAAATATGAAAATAAAAATAATGTTCGTGATTTTTATTTATTTAATTACAAAAAGTCTTGTTCGTGAAAGAACTATTTTGATTTACTGGAGTTGTAAGTTTGCTTCCACCCTTAAGATGTTACAATTAGATGAGTGAAAAGGCAAGCTTTTCAGTAGTAGGTCCACGCAGCAGCTTCTGTTGTTGCACAAATGAGCAGACACTATCTCGACCTCGCAGAGGACCGGCGTGAATTAGAGGTATTGATATAAATAAGTAAATATTTTAGGACACATTTTTACACAACGTTCTCTAGTCCCAAACTAAGCAACGCTTGTACTATAGATAACTGATAAACATACTTAAACATACTTTTCTTTTGTAAACAAATACATATTGTACATATATAAACACCCAGACACCATAAAAACACTACGTTCATCAAACCCACACCCTCTGGCGTAGGAGGCAGGTCCACAACCCACTACACCATTCGGGTCGTCAAAAGTCGTGATATGATAGCTCGTTTGCTGAATTGGTTGTCTTCGTACCGTTTTGAGAGTATTGAAAGTCTATTCTAAATTAAACTTATTATTCCAGAAAAATTACGTCCTTATTCCGGAACTTTCTTCATAAAAATGCGATCGCACCCGTCGAAGTGTTGTAATAAAGAGAAGATTTAAATATCGAACTTCAACTCCAAACCCGCAACCCGTAGCTCATATCAGTATATCCATCCGAGTTTCGTCTCGTAAGTGCGATAACGAACGTCGACTTTTTTTAAAGATTGGGAACACATCTGTAGCCTCGCCGGTTTATATGTTCATTGAAAGCGGTTATCACAAAACATCGGGTGCACCTCGCTCACTTGCCAACTTTTAACTTCTTCTTCTTTCTACTGGCCTTATCTCGTGTAAGTAAAAAAAAGTACTCATAACTTATATATACCCCACTATTGTCCAAGAACCTCCTCTGTAAAGAGGGTATGAGGGGAATATTCCACCACGCAAACCCATTGCGGACTTGACATATCTTCGGAATATTTTTTTGTTATTATTTCGAAAATATGCAGGTTTCCTCACGATTGTTCCTTCACTATTCTTATGTAAAAATTTGTCAAGCGAGCAGGCGGTTCAACTAATATTATGTGATTACCACTATTTACGCATATTATCAATATATGTGAGAGAATATGTGTGTTTAGATGCGTTGAAAGCCTTTTGAAAAGTGGGTCCCAGTTATCATACTCACCAGACGAAACGTAGTAATAAGTATATAATATATATAGAAAGTATAATACTCTCACTGCACGCCAAGCTTCTGGGAGACCGTGGTTGAGCCTGCCCATTCATTCAACCTCAGAATAATAAAGTGCACAAGAAAAGCCAGCACTTAAAATTAACAATTCATTAGTGCTGACAGTGGGAATTGAACGCTGGTTGCTCAAGTATATTGAATTAAAAGTGAGCACCCGTATAATGACAACATATTATGTATCGTAATGTAATTGGTATTGGCTATGTATTTGTCAACGTGTGATCACCTGTGTGATGTCAACCCTCCTTGGGTACAAAGACCCAGATCTGTGGGTCATGTAAATACTTGTCCCGTGTGAAAATCTAAGCCACTGCCATCGGTGCTTAAGTCATTAGTCTAGCAACTACGTCACTGAGCTTGCCAACCTTTAACGTAAAAAGAAAAACATCAGTTATGTTAAAAAATTAAAGTTGAAAAATGCTCAAACATATAAGAGTAATATCTAAAAATATATTTAGAAGCAATTTTAAAAAACAATATACCCACACAAAAATTCACATGTTTAATCAATTAATATGTTTAATGGTGCGTTATGCAATTTTCTAAGTAAAGTCGTAAAATTATTTCTGAAACTACGAAATAACAAATAAGAATTCAATTGCCATCACCAGCTGATTTAACTTTATTTGTTTCACATAAACACAATTTTAAATTGTATATTTCAAAGATGTATCTGAAAATATTATAATATAAATTTTATTTGATCCAAATAAATCACCTTTAATCGAATTAACGTTCGCGGCTAATCATTTTATTAACGTTATCATTATATAATGATATACTCTATGGCCATAAACTACTTAAGACCAGACATTGTTTTTTTGTTATTGACCAGACCGCAAGCTAATATACTGTATACATAAAATTTCTCTTTGTTTTGCAACTTATTGTAAAACACAAAATCACGATTTAAATTTTAAGACTTATATCTTGTACCGTAGTATGAATAGGACCCAAGATATTGAAAAGCTAGATGCTATTCCAAGACTAACTTCATGGATGATTGTTTATTATATATTAAAAATAATAATAGTTTGGATTAACTTTAGATCTAGATTAACAATTTGAAGTTGAGAAGATTTGCTCGGAACGTTCAAGGTAATTCTGGACTATTCGTGGGGTTTCGAATTTTATAGAAGCATAGCTTTTCGCCCGCATATACTGCATATAGCCTTCCTTAATAAATGGGCTATCTCACAGTGCAAGAATTGTTCAAATCCGACCAGTATTCCCTGGGATTCGCGAGTTCAAACTATCAACCTCTTCAGTTTCATAACATTCCGACTCGCACTTGAGCGATTATTTTTTACTTTTTATAAAATTACAATCACCATCATTTTACAGACTATAATGTATAGTAATATATAGTATATAGTAAATATAGTTGTATGTAATAAATATGTAAATATATAGTAACTATAGTTTCATCCAATTAAACTGTAGCTATTATATAGCATTTTATCGCACAAATCTTCAATGTGGTTATTTATGTTTCTATAACTTCTTTATTTATGAACCGATTTAAATAAAACTAACACTAAATGTTAAGTGAAGCATACTACAATAGAAGAAGCATCTAAATCGGTTAAGCCGTTTCTAGGATTAGCGCGTACAAACGCACAGACAGTAAAACAAACAAACAGACAAAAAATTTAACAACCATTGTTATGGGTTCTATTATAAAGGCCTCCAATAATAGTTTTTCTCAAATGTCTTCCATGTACAGACAACGATCAGTTTCATTTTTATCATATTGTAACGACCTATTAATAATAATAAATATTATTATTAATTAGTCATAATAAAGATCAATTAAGATGAAAGTAAAACGTTTAAGAACGTTTAGTCACAATAAAAGTTAATAATATATACTTAAATTTAAGAAATATAAGTGTTAGTATGAGAAAATGATATTACCAAAAATTGATAAAAAAAAATAGTTAAAAATCACTTAAAATACTCAAAAAAGGATATTTATTAAGAATATAGCAAGATACGATCACTATTATGTCCATTAAATACAATTCCATACTTAGTGATTTCTAAGGGAAGTATTATGTACCGTGCGGGGACACATTTGTATGACCGCACATATATAGTACAGAGGTCGATCGCGACTCTTAGTACTATAGTCAAAGTACATTGTATGAACGTCCCATACCAATATCATATGGAAGTAAGGTCTAATGGATAAAAGTAATAATATGTGAAGGCTCAGAGAAAAAATAATAAATATATAAATATAATGAAGAGCAATGAATAACTTGGGACTTTATAAGACATATTACTATGGAGTTGCGTGGTACTTCTGTACGACGATATGGTCTACGGTAAACGTGGAACCATGAATGGATATGTCTTCAGTGGTGGACATATCATCGATAGCTGGTGGTAGTTGGCGTCTTAGTGACCATCACTATGATACGTTGGCTGTCATTCGGCATAGTAAGAGTTTGGTGGTAGTTGGCGTCTTAGTGTGTTGCACTATGATACGTCGACTGATCATCTGACTTTGGGGAGTCTGGTGGTGGCTTGCGTCTTAGTGTATTCCACTATGATACGTTGGCTATTACTTGGCTTGGGTGGAGGTCCGTTGGTGGTTGGCGTCTTAGTGTTTACGCTATGATACGTCGACTATCATTCGGATCGTGAAAGAGTATGTTTGGACACTTCGTGTGTTCCGAGTATATTCTAAACTTTGGAGCCGAAGTTGATTGGAGTTGTATTGGTGTGGTGTGAGGGTGTGCCACCTACGCGATAGTCACATTGATGCGTGCGGCTATATGCAGTACTGCGTCTTGTGGTAGTTGCGGGGTGATCTGCGCCTAATATCATTGCATCGTATGATTCTGGTTGACGGAGGTTCGAGGTGATGATGTCTGCTGTGTATGCGGATAGGCTGTATGTTGGCGTGTTGACCTGCGATAGTTGTATTGATGCATGTTGCATTTGGTGACATTGCGTCTTGCGACATTTGCTTGGGAGACGACGCTATTCATAATGGCCGAGTCTGCGTCTCGGTTTGATGCACATCTCAGTAGATTTGTCCAAGTCGGGTTCCTGATGACGGAACTGCAGACTGTCTGACCTCTTTATACGTTTTATCATTATTAACGAATCTCAGTAAAGTTCCCACCGTTCGAACGAATAATGGCAACTTGCTGGTGGGTGAGACAAACTTGATCGAAAATACA